TCAATTTATAGATATTTATATTAAAAAGATATTGGTCATAGGTTGTTGATAAGGTTTGTTTCCAAAAAAATATTAAAGAAATATGCAAGTACATCCTATACAGTTTTTAATTTTGAACCAAGATGTGCTTTCTAAAAAATATTGATTGATACCTATTAATAAGACCGTAGAAATTTTAAATTACTATGTACATTATTTTTGCATCAAATTTCAATTTCTTTAATGTTGAGTTGTCAAAACAATTTACCTTGATATTGTAATCGGCTCAAATTAATCTATATGTTAATAAGGTTTGTTTACAAACAATTTTAAAGATACCAATCTTGTACAACTATATTTTTTTAAAACTTTAACAGAGATGCGTTCATATGGAAAAAAAAAAGCACAAAACTTTGTAAAATTAGAGCACGGATTTTTTTCAAATAGCTATAAAATTCGTAAAATATGGAATGTATTTAATTCCATATTAATCAAAGTAAAATACAAAAATATTTTCAAAATAATTAATACACCATTTTCAAATGGGTTTGAAAAAAAAAACCTATGGATATTTGTAAATTTGAAATACGAATCTTTTTATAATTGATCTACAAATCCAATATGTAAAATATGATGGTCTTGTTTGGCAGTTAGCGGTTAGCTGTTAGCTGTTAGCGGATTGCATTAGCTGTTTTGACTAGCGGATGGTGTTAGCTGTTTTGACCAGCTGATTGTTTTAGCGGTTTTAAAAAGAGTGTTTGGTAATTAACTATTTTTAATCAGCTGTTAACATGTAAAATTACTTACATAGACATCTATTCTTTTATATTCTTGTTTATTTAAAATTATAATTATATTGAAAATAACTATTACTTATATTTAAAATATTTGTAAAACGGCTTAATATAACATAACACAATAAGAAATTGTTACAATATATAATTGTGAAGTAAAAAAAGTTATGAAGATTTTAATTTGACATGATAACAAATATTCAAATAAAAAATAAAATAAAATACATAAAATGTAAAAATTCGCATATCAATTATCAGCCTTTAGTCTTACTCTTCCCTCTATAAATTTGCACATAATTCATCACTCAATCTTTCGTTTTTATTTTTATATTTACAGAACACCTACTTCACTTAATTTCAAATGTCAATGGAGAAATTTGAGTTCATTTATAATCTCAATTTTATTTTTAATCCAATATATTAATGCAATAAAATGTAAATCTATTTTGTAAGCTAACTTTGATTTTTAACCCAAATATGTTAGTGTGTTAAAATAATATGAGGTAGAGTTAATGTAGTAGAGTTAATTAATGGCAAATATGTCATTTTATATTTTTTCCTCATAAAGCTATTTGAAAAAGCTTCAATTTGTAGCTTTTTGAAAAACAGCTTTTAGATTAAAAAAGCTATTTCAAAAAGCTATTAACCAAACATTTTAAAATTGGAGGTTTTAAAAGTCAAACATCTATTTTGTTCAAAAAGCTAATTTGTGGCTGAAACGCCATTAAACAAACATGGCCGATATCTTTTTATAATTGATCTAAATATAAAAGATGGAATGTATTTGATTCCATATTAACTAAAATAAAATACAAATAAATTTTGATATAATTAAAATGGTGTTCTGAAGTTGGTTTGAGAACAAAAAAGTTGATGGATATTTGATTAAATAGAGCATGTACCTTTATAAAATAGCTCTAAATATCTCACATGTAAAATATAACATGTAATTGAGTACATATTAAACAAAACAAATCTATCAAAAATAATTTAAAAGGCTTTAATAAATCAATTTACAAAAATATGGACATATTTTCGTAAGTCAACAATTTTGACTAAAAAATTGATGAAAGTTTCACAAATGAATTTTGCATCAACATATCTATCTCCATTCTCCCCCTTACATTTAGCAAAAATGTAAGGGGTTTAGCCGCTGACACGTGGCGCTTGTTTGCAAATATGAATGCCCTTCAATTTCATGTGTTTTTACCAATGGTGCCACTGCTTTATTGTCAAATGACTGGGTTACCCTTGGAAAGAGAGCTGCGCTGCAAGTACCGGAAAAACTGGTGAGATGGTGGTCGTACGGCGCGATTATGTGGGCCTTCGGCTTTGAGCAGTGATTGACGCACCGACCCTTATCTCACGGTACGTCAACTCGTCCGATGAGCCGACTTTTGAGTACCGACGAACGGCTAGGGTTCGAGCTGAGCAACGGCAGTTTCGCTTCTCGACGTCGCTATCTTCGTCTTCTGGCGCCACTCATCGACGGCTAGGCGTGCCTCCTGGAATACCCCTTTCTGCTATTTCTTCATAGCTCAATAGCTGGCACGCCCAGGGGTACGGCGACTACCTGTCATCGAGAATCCGCGCTTCTTCTAGGGATTATTTGAGTCTATGGAATTTCCGCCGGGAAATTTTCGCCGTCCGTTTGTCGTACGGGGCTTCAACTCTGACTTCAATGGTAAGCTCTCATATTTTTGCTTCTTTTTTTTTTCACTATTATTGTTGTGATCTCAGTTTGTAGCCTCCAAATTGACTGTTTGTCGCCGTCTTTTTTACTATTATTATTGTTGCGACAGTAAATAATTAGAAAATGATACAGAGGCAGCACGAACTGCGCAGCGGCGACGAGGTTTCCATCAACATCGTCCGCCATTTAGCCCAGCATGGTTGTGTGTAAGTCCTCGCAGCATCTTTATCTTTATATTAATTAAAGAAAAAAATATGGAATTATCTTAATATAAATGAATTGCGCTTCGCGAAGGTTGGTTTTGATGGGAGATAAGGAGCTATTGAGGATTGCGGCGGACGAGAACAAACGATCCTTGAACGGCGTCGTTTCGATTCTACGAAGGGGAAGCCTGTGGCGCGAAACGACGTCGGTGCCATAAAGAAGGTGGCCAGGCGGCAGCCACGGTAGTACATGGACCGTCGAGAGGGATTGAATCACCCCTTACTAGCTGAATGAAATCGATAGTTTAATTGCTTCACGTTTCGGGCTTTTATTTAGGCTCTGGTTCTATAGTAGCTTAATTATCAAATATTTATGAATTGAGTTATCCTGGGTGTATATGAAATCTATTTACCTAAATAACGGGCTAAATAGTTTTTTTTTTTT